TGCCAGGGGCAACAGTTGAGCCCTGGCCGTGTTTGCCTTTTTGTTGTTGTTGTTGTTTTTGGTGAAAGGGGGATAAAAATAAAGGGAGCTGGTACAGGCAACAGAGTAGAACTGTTAAGGGAAAGTAGGACAACAATAGCCATGTTCCCACTCCAGCAGCAGGAGGGGTCCCTTCACAGACAGTCACGTGCCCCACCTGCCCTAACAAGGGGCCTCTTTCTGCCAATTTACTGATGGAACAAAACCGAACACCCATGCCCCGCCCCCTTTCCAAGGCTCCGCCCACTCTGTCTGTTTTCTTCCCCTCACCCTTCTATTGCTCACTCTCCCACCCCCCACCTCATTTTCACAGGGATGGGGAAGGTTCTTTTCTACCAGGTGTTTGGTCAGTGAGGGGCCACAGGGATGTGGTGGCGCTTCCAGGAGTGGTGCTTGGCCAGGATTTGCCTTAGCCCCCTCCCAAAAAGCCACCTGGCCGGAGCCTGCATCCCAAAACCATTTCCGCACCCTAATTCTCTACTACAGCCTTGAGCTCCTTCCCATGGCCTACACCCCTCAAACTCCAACCCCGTGCCCCAGCCCTGAGGCGATCAATACCCCAGGGGCTCAATTAGCAGGTATAGTGAAGACCCGCTAATTTGACCACAGATCGCAGTCCTGCCAACTCCTGCACTCCCCTGGAACAAGAAGCATAAGGTAAGTTGAAAGGAGAGTTACTCCTGCTGACCCAGTGTGGCATAGACACTACAATAACTTGAACTAAGCAACATAGCTGGAATTGTGTGACTTAAGTTGACTTCACTCGGTAGGGTACACCTGCCCTAAGTCTTCTGTGAAAAATGATATTTATGTTTGTGTGAAAATTGATATTCATCTATAAGTGTTACTTTGTACTGCAGCTGACTTACCAGGCAGCACGTTTAAAAAAGAAAACAACAACCAAAAAGGCAAAAGAAACAACAACAACAAATCAGCACCTCATTTGTGCTTCTATTCTTTTTATGTAGAGTAAAAAATAGTGACAACTGTACATTATTTTTGATACTAAGTCTGCAAAAAGTACATAAATAAATGACATTGATTTGTACATGCTTTTTTTTCCTAAAGCAAATTAAGTATTTTAGGAAAACATGTCAGAGTGACTAGCAACCAATGTTGCAGCTGCTAGTGAGGGTCTCCCCTGCATAATGGTCAGGTTTAGAACAGTGGGGGAGATGTGAGAAACACTTGCTAACTGATTGATTCTTGTAACACCAGTGTTGTCCAGATTAGCACTGAACACCTTTCTGTTATGTCTAGATATTATTCATATCATATTCATTCTCTGTGGAAAAAATGAGCAGTTAATTAGATATAATGAACTGGGATATGATTTGCTTAATTATTAATGCAGTGTATAAACTAGCAGTCACAAACTCACGGCCCACAGGCCATCTACGGCCAGAGCATATTGGCAATCCAGTTGAGTCCGCTACCCACACACACCCCAGTTTGGAGGGGCGTGTCTATCCCCCATACCCCTAAACCCCTTCCTGCTGCCACACCATTGCACCCTGTCCCCTGAGGGATGCAGCCTCAGGGATTACCAGGGGCCTGGTGTGGGCCCCTCACATTCCCTACTAGCTGTGAGTTTAAGACTTCTGGTGTAAACACTGAATGGAGTTTTTGAACTAATGTGTTCTAATATATTCATGTTTTTAATGGCGGGGAGTAAATGTTCTGTGTGCCTAGTGCCCCAATAAAGCTTAGTTTGTCCCTGACCCGCTGATGAGTTCTACAAGTAAAATATCTCATGATTTTTAAGTCAATCTCATTATTTCTTTGGGGCCTAAGACTTGATTTTTGAACTAGCAGAGTTTTAAACAGTCTGACTCAAATCCCCTCCTTCTTCAGTTGCTGAAACGTCAGTCTCCTAGTTATGATGTCACAATTTCTAGACAGTTTCAGAAAATTGCTGACTAACCAAATTGGAGGACAAATCATTGCTTAGGTTTTTCAGTGACAGACTAACACAGCTACCCTTCTGAGACTGTCTAAATAATGTTAATGTAGCTTCTCCAAGTGGTAACATGCCTTTGTGAACCACTTTCCTGTTTGGAGCAGAAACTGGTGACACAGAAGGATGTATTTACTTACTGCAATTTGTTTATTTACAAGATTAACACAGGTCCTGTTTTCTGAAACAGGGGTGATAACAAACCCATGAAGGAACACAGGCACCACTGTTCCGTCCTAAAGAGTCAGCTTTCTTCCTCTGCCTCATTCCACAAACACATGAAGACTCGCAGCCAAAACTGACTGCAATTGAACACACAGGCAATAACTGGTAGCTCAACACATAATTTAACTCTTGTGATTTTAACCAGTGCTTTTTTTTGATGGTACTGCCTGGTACATAGTACCGGCACCTCCAGTTATAGCTCAACAACTTTTCCCCTGGAGTACCGGTACCCCCCCTTTTTTTAAACAAAAAAAAAAGCACTTTTTTTAACACATAGCCCTTGTTGAGCCTCACCGCTTACACCACAAAGTCTGAAGGCCATGCATCTGGATGTCAATCTTCCTTTTGCTTCACTGCTTTGCAACATAAAAATGACTTAATTAAGTTTCCCTGCATGATTAGGAGAATCCATAATTAATCTCTAGATCCAATAACTGCATCAATTGCAGCCGTTGAAAACCTATTACACAATTATGAAAAATGGGAAAATGTCTTCCATTTTTCTCAGCAGATGTAATAATGTAGCTACTACTCCTATCCACATACCATCCTTCAGGGTACATATAACCTGAAATACTAATGTAATTAATAAAACAAAACCTTTCAGTTATTAAACATACATAATAAATAACATTAAAAGATAAGTCAAATTTTCCCGCTTGCAGATAATGTTTGACTACTATTCTGACATATTGGAGGGACAGAGTGGAAAAATTCTAAGTATTTTGCAACAGAATGGGGACTGTCCCTGGCTGGCATTCAGGATGACCTTACAGCAGGTAGAATAGTGATAGAAATGTAGCCGTGTTAGTCTGGGGTAGTTGAAGCAAAATGCAGGACAATGTAGCACTTTAAAGACTAACAAGATGGTTTATTAGATGATGAGCTTTCGTGGGCCAGACCCACTTCCTTACAGCAGGGTAACTTGCATTATGCTTACATCAGCTCTTACAAGCTACGTGGGGTCAGGCTACCACTAAAAGGATCATGTGGGTACTGCAGGAAGTGGCTTTTTTGTCTGTGCTAAAAGGTGAAAATCTTCCTTTTGAATCTGAATGCAGGGGTGCCATTTAGGTACGGGAGGGGACTCTAGTCCCCCCTGAAGTCTGAACCCATGAATTTCGTACTTGAGGTCTGTTTACAGCATTTGCCCTATCCCTACACACAGGTCTTAACTGCAACACAGCTTATGCTGCTTCCAGTTTTGCCTTTATGGCAGGAAGTTTGTTTATAAATAGAGAGAAGCAGGGTGATTAAGATAACAAAAGGCTTGTCATTAAATTATTTGAAGGATCGTTAGATGATCATTAAAATATTGTCAGGTACTCCACTTAAGAGACAGGAAACAAAGAGTACGAATAAAAGGTGAGAATGGGAAGAATTAAATAGTGGTATTCTTCAAAGGTCTGTACTGGGAACCAGTACTGTTCAACTTATTCATAAATGAGCTGGAGAAATGAGTAAACAATGAGATAGCAAAATTTGCAGATGATACAAAAATTACTCAAAATAGTTAAGTCCAAAGCTGACTGCAAAGTGTTAGTATGGCTACATCTACACTCCCGCTTTTTTGCGGAAGAAATGCAAATGGAGCACTAATTAGCACATTTTGTTCTCATTTGCATATTCTCTTCCAGTCCTTTTTGCAGAAGAGGTTTATGCGCAAAAAACCCTTTTGTGCAAGAACAGTTATTCCTCATTTTTTGAGCACGTTTTCTGGAAATAACATATTTCAAAATAACCTAGTAGTGTAGATATCGCCTAAATTAGCTATTAATATTCAAGAAAGAGATCTTGGAATCATTGTGGATAGTTCCCTGAAAACATCTGCTCAATATATAGTAGCAATCCAAAAAGCTAACAGAATATTGGGAATCGTTAGGAAATGAATAGATAATAAGTAAGAAAATGTCATATTGCCCCTAAATAAATTCATCGTATACCCACACGTTGAAAACCACACACAGATCAGATAGTTCAATCTAAAAAAAAAAAAGATATTGGATTTGGAAAAGTACAAAGTAGGGCAACAGAAATTATTAGTGGTAAGGAACAGCTTCTGTATGAGGACAGATCAAAAAGACTGGGACTATTCGGCTTAGAAAAGAGATGATTAAAGGGGAGGAGTCTCTGGGGACTCCTGGGGACTACTGTACATTTCAAAGCTGGCATGCCGCATGGAGCCTGGGGTCAACCCAGCTGATCCCGGGCTCCAAGCAGCACTGCTGCTTTGAAATGCCGCGTTGAGCCCGGGGTCAGCTGAGGAATTCCCAGCTGATCCCGGGCTCCACCTGGCATTTCAAAACAGCAGTGCTGCATGGAGCCTAGGGTCAGCTGAGGAGTCAAGGCAGGGGGAATGACTAGCTGACTATC